CCTCTTGCTTAGCCACCAGCACCCCTTTCTCAACTAACTGCAGTTTCACACATATGCTTTACACAATAAAACTAAACTAACTGTAGTATGTGAAATCAGTGAGATCAATAGTGTAAGTGAGTGTATGAGTGGAGAAGTGCATGAGTGCTGCGTTGTAGTAAGATGCAGCAACACAATCTAACCTTCAAATCAAAACCAAATGGTTGTCTTATGGAGGAGAGAGAGCCAGTACTGAGCTCCCAGATGCTAAAAGGAGCATGGCACACAGGCTTTAGGTATGGCCAGTTTTCTGATGACCTGCACAAAAGCAGCCACACAACCAGGAACAGGTCATCAGCAGAAAAAGTATCCCTGTATAGTTTGCATGTTTGTGGAACATGTAAACTATATGTAAGTACAGGAAGACTTTACTCTAGCACTGCAGCAAACTTTAAAGAACTGAATTAAAGTTTAGTTTAATAATGATAACACAGTGTTTGAATATTGAAGAAACTTGTCATTATTACTTTCAAGTTCTAGTTTCATTAGTTGTCTTATTATGCCTACTTTGTAAAAAGCAAACCACCAAGACCCCAAATACAGGATTCAAACTCATGATGTGTGGTTACAATATAGAATGAAACTCCCATTTAGGCTACTTTTAAAGACTTAAGTCAGCATATCAGGGGGGAAAAAAAGGACCAACCAAGGAAAAAGTCGAGGGATCCAAAACAGAGCCACAACTGCAACAATTAATAACAATTTTGTGTATCTTATTTGGGAATAATACATTGAAGTATTTCTACATTTACTTAAAGTAAGTATGTGATTCTACCACTAACACAGTCGTTTTTGTGGACCAATATATGTACTATATATGTATATATGTGTAAAAATATGTTGAATACCAATTTGTTGATACTGAATAGTGGATCTGCTACTGAACTCAGATCAGTTTGATACTAACAACACTAGCTATGTGAGGTACCTGGGGAAATAATTTTATTTTTTTTGTGATAATTTGGGGAAAGCTAAGCTATTAAGCCTCTTAATAGCACTGCCCATGTGTATAATATTTTCTAAGAAAGTGTCAGAAATGAGTTACTGAATTGTAATGTCTTGTTTTATGTTTTTATATTCAACCAGTTATCTTTTCTCCCGGAATGTAGAACTATTACTAATTTTATATTAATTTAACAAAAGAGATATTGCTTACAACACCTTTAAGTGTTTCTTGAGCCAGTTGTTAAATAATGCCAGTGGTTTACCCAAATGGGTAAATAAGGGAACATCCATTCATGTAGTTTTAACCTTAACACGTAACTATTACCCCGACACGGAAGCACTTGATCTCTTCCGTAACAGTTCAAATGGACGCCACCGCACACTTGATACACATGCACGTATGTTTATTTCAGTTTAACATTTTACTTTGTATTACAAGTACTGCTACTTGAATAGTTACGGTTTGTATTTTCATGTGTGCTGAATTGATAAACTTGGTGAAATCAGTTGTGTGGGGATGCAACATGAGCAACGTTAAGAAGTTAGCTTAGCCTAGACTAGCAATTTTGCTCACAATGCATTTTTTATTATGTTTCAGATTGTGGTGAATATTACTAACCCTCATCAAGTAAGGTAAGTGTAATTTAAAAGATGGATATATTTTGATGTAGTTTGATTTATGTCTTTTTTTCTCCATGTGTGCTTGGAAATTTGCTTTTGGTGCTGGACATGTACGTACACGTAAAAAGTTTCTTACGTAATGCCATCCTGACTTCCAGGGGCAGATCTGCAAGTGAGGAAACTCCAATGGAGTGTGATCCTCCGGAAAATCAAAGCTCTTCAAATGCCAGGTAAGGAGTGGGGCATTCAATGATTTCAAGGGTTCAAGGTTATTTTATAGTCATTTACAATGCAGGGTTGTATAATGAAATTAAGATATAGTTCCCTTTATGCAAAAAATGTAGGCATCTGCACCTCTTGTAGGCAGCAAAAGCTTGTTACAGACAAACGTTACACCATTCAGACTGCAACAACATTAGTAGTGTAGAAAATTTTTTACTTTTATTATTTCATCAGCATCTCATAGCAAAACATACAAGCACAGCACAGCAGCACCAGTCACATACTGTACATGGTAGTTGCAGTGGTTTGCCATCAATAGCTTACTGTACTATAATATAAATGTGTAACTTAGCAAAAGTAAAAGTACTCTGAGCAAGTACTGTATTAAACAAAATATTAAATGAAAGAAATTAGAATTAAACAAAATATATAAAT